CAGAAGTATCATGAGTTGTATACTAAGTTTCTCTTCTTCAGAAATTCTCAAAGTGTTCTTTAGCAGAGACCATCTTTCATTCTGAAGTAAGTTCCCCCATTAGGCTAGAAAGAAAGATTGTTATTCTTGCAGAGGACCCAGGTTTGATTCCCAGCACCCATATGGTAGCTTATAACTCTCCATAAATTTAGTTTCAGGGGATCAGAAGGTATGTGCATAGTGCAGAGATAAACATGCAAGCAAAACTCTCATGTACATAAAATTTAAAAAGGAAAAAGAAACCGTCCTTTTCCCTCAGTTTTCAAAGTTTCAATTCAATCAACCTTGAAGTACAGACAAGGTTAGGGTGTAGAGATTTGGTCCCTCTGTCCTAATGCTTTCCAGAAGCCTTTCCAGTAGCCTACTTCTCAGAGAAGTAGATTACCTTATTCAACAAACAGTTCAGTGGTGTACAAATAGCTCTCTACATAATAATAAAAGACATGCTCCTTACCAAGAAATATACCAATGTGGAACTAAAAAAGAAACAAAATGTTCAGCATCCCCTGACAATGAATGCACAGACAGAAGACACAGAGATGACTCGAGACACAGACAAGAATGAGAGAGCAGAGGTACAACTAGTGTGTTGCACTAGTGTATCTGCACCTAACTCTACATGTCCTAACAAGGACTGTGGGCTCTTCATGCATGGTGTGGCTGAGGGGCTTTCCTCCACCCAGTGTTCCTGATATAGTTCACCATGACCCAAAGGAAAATCCTAAAGGAGAGGACTCCACACCTCATTCTACTTTCTTCTAAACCACAGTAAGAGTCAAATTACAGTGCCACCCAGACCCAGCCTTTGCTCTGCTCCAGAATTGGGAGACAGCAGAGTCAACGCTAGACAGAGACCCAGAAAACAATTCTGCTCTGCAACTAACCAGCTATGTGCCGTCGAACTTCGGTTTTTCCATCTGTAAAATGAAGGGTATGAACAGTAACTTCCAAGGTCTTTATTTCATCGTTTTTTATAATTATTTCTCAAAATTACTCCTACTAAAAATATACTTCTTTAGGTCATGCCATTCTTAAACAGTGTCTATTTAATAATATATAATGTCTTGGCATTTATGTATGACACTAACAATGTGTATAATATATGCTAACCTTTAGTGAATATTCACTTTATCTACCTGCCTTTTATACTTTCTATCTTCCTTGTAAAAGGCAGGTGCTACCCCTTTGATGAAACAAGGAGAACAGCTTGACTATGAAAAGCTAAGATTATATTCCTTAAGTTCAAATCCAGGAATGTGACCCTCCAGTCTAAGCAATGTGCCATTTTTTATATCATTCTGCCTTCTTATGGCTGACAGGCTCTTCTCAGTGGGCAACAAAATAAAATTGAAGCATATGGTCTAATGGCCACTTGGTGGCAGCAGCACTGTGATAAAGCTACTCAGATACAAGAAAAACCACCAGCTCAAATCTTAAATCCTAGAATTGAGACAAAGACCTTCTAGTTTAAAACAGGCACAGATGACCAGTAACTGAGAAATGTCTGCTAATGTTAAGTGTGTTTCTTTAACAACACCCTACCCTTCTCTAGGATCAGTTACACAGGGAGGACTGAGATTTCTTGTAGATATTTGGCTTCTGTCCCTAACTAACATGGCCTGCATTTACTCAATAAGTCACATGTTTCCTCTTTGGTGGTGCCACGTGACTGTAACTGAGTATTCTGTGTTCCTAATATTCAATACAGACTTAAGCAAAAACTGTTTGATGACCTATCACCCCTTACCACTAACGTCAAATACTAACATAGTAGGGCTTCTCAGCCAGCCAACAGGGCCCTCATCACTGAGGGAATACTAAGAAGCTGTACAAAGAGGTATCAATCACCATATACATCTGTAGAGGGCCTGTGATGAGGTGAGACGTGCCTCTGCCTTTGGGTGCTTATTTACTGAAGAACAAACAGAGGCATACTGCCTTGACAGAGCGAAGTCATCAGGTGGAAGAGTCAGGGACAAAGCTAAACCTTCTACAGAGAAGCCTCGGTTTGTTGTTTTATAGGGACTACGACAGAGTTTTATAACTACTACACAAAAAGGAAAAGAAGCAGTACTGACCTGGATATGATGCCTCACACCGGGAATCCTAGCACTTGGGAGGTGGAAGCAGGAAGATCAAGTTCAAGATCATCCTTGCCTACATAGTAAGATCAAAGCCAGCCTGGACTACAAAAAACCCAGCTAAAGCAAAAGTAGAAGGAAATTATCACAACTATTGGTCTTGAAGGGTTCCTACTAGCTAGAAACAAAACAATTTAGGGTATAGAAAAAAAATGTTATATGTTCAAACAATTTAATTTAGGGTATAGAAAAAATTGTTATATGTTCAAACAATTTAAACATATTAAAGCCTATTGGTTGGCTGGTTGGTTGGTTTTTAAGGTTAAAGCCCTTGGGTTACTTTTGGAGGTTGCTAAGTCACAGATTTAAACACATTCAAGTTGATCTGTTTTAAGGTAGAGCCCTTGGGTTACCTTTGGAGGTTGCTAGGCCACCAATTCATTGCTGTAGTCTGAAAAGAAAGGAACGGAGTTAAGCATTTTTCTTGCCATTCCTGTACTTCAGGATAGTCAGATAGCTGTGGAAGGCAAGTTCATCATAAGAGTGCCAGAGCTAAGCAGCACTGGGCACATGACGTCACTAGAAAGCACCACTCCGTGGCTGTGCTGCAGTAATAGACCCAGGCACTATTAGCCATGGAAGATCTAGCTATTGACCAAGAGGCTCTTGGGCAATTTTATGGTGGGTCAACTGAGCAGACAGCATAGGAACCATTACATCCACAGCTTAATTTTAACATTCCAATTGGGATGACTCAGATATTACAAGTCTCCCTGATAATGAATGCAATGGATAATTTTTATAATATAAAACCTATGACAGTTTTCTTGTACCTCCCATCAAAAATCAAGGTTGAATCTAACACTATTATTTCAAAAGATCATTGTATTTCAACAGAACTTTCTGTAATTATGGAAACATCTTATCTGTGTTAATCAATCAAACAGTAGCCAGTAGGCAACCTGTGAGTGCCGAGTATTTCAAATGTGGCTAATGCAATTGGGGAACCAAACTTCTATTTCATTTAAAACATCAGAGCTGGCTGATGACTACTACACTGGACAGTGTAATTCAAGATTTAGCGAGTAGAGAAGTCATAGAAGAGGTAGAAGCATATATTCAAAAATACATACAACCAGCTAAACCTGAATGATAAAGGAAAGAGAGGGAAGAAACTGCTATCCATTAGAAGGCTTTAAAGGCCTAACAACCCAATGCAGTAGACAGTTCTCTGCAGGATTTTGGTCCAAGCAAAGTATTTCGTGCACATATGGAATAGCTGAAAAAATCTGAACCCACTGGACATTGTCATTGTGTATTTTTTATAAATTTGTACTGATGTAAAAATAGTACTGTGATTTTATAAAAATTAGAAAAGCAAACCTAGCCTTTGGCATGGGGAGCACCTTAGCTATGACAGGGTAGAGGTAGGGAGCACCTTAGCAATGTCAGCTATGGCAGTGTGGACTAATGCTGTCATCATCAGCCACTACACAGTACAGGAAGGCCTAAGTAACAGTCCCTACCTCTCCAAGGAAGGAAGCAGAATCAGCATAATTAACAGTATCTACACTGTTTTTGAAACTTCAGCGTATACACATTTTAAAGAAACGAATGCCTGTGTTTATAAATCTCTAACCCACTTTAGTTTCACAGCCTCCTTTATTATACTGATCACTGAGAACGACAAAATAAAAAGACAAAGAGCAAGGGACAAAAACCTAAAAATGGTGCTGCACTCCAAATAAGATAATTCGTTTCATCATATCATTATATTAAGCCTTTTAAGAAAAAGTGTAAATAGCTAGATAATCATAGCCATTGATCTCTGACTTACATACAAAATATAAGATAAATACAAACATTGGAGGAATTGTAAAAAGAGCACCTACCCTGCTTTAATAAAGTAATAAATTTTAAAACTCTAAATTGGCCTCAAGTAAGAGAGCTCAGGAAGCCAGGTGAGGTGGTGCAGGTCCTTAACTAAGAGGCCTTAATAGGTAGGCCCATCTCTGTGAGTTTGAGACCAGCCTGGTCTACATTGTAAGTTCCAGACCAGAGACAAAGGAGAGCCGGCGCTAGCTGGGGAGGGGAGCGCTTTTGGCACTAAGTGTACAGTCTATAAATGTAAAGTCGTATCTGACATCAGAATGCACTAACTCCACGATTTTGTAAAGTACAAAAGCCCTATTTGCAATCCATTCACTGACAAGTGTCTCCACGTTAAAGCGCTGTTATGGAACTGCCCTTTCAAATTTTTCACTCTACCAATCTTGTTTCCTATGCTTGACCTGAAAGCGTGAAGCCATCTGCAATTCCCCTAAATTAGGGGTTCCTGCCACGTTCCCGCACCTCTCATACTAACATTACCCGGGAACCCTGCGGGCTTTCCGCTAAGCGGCTAACGCTAAGGCCTGGCCGTACACCGGCAGCAGCAGGCCGGTCCCTTCCCGGGAGCCAAGCAGCCCGCAGCCCACAGCCCGCCCTCTCGCAGGCCATAGCACCTGGCCGGCCAGCCCAGAGCCCCATAGAGAGGAGGCGGAGGGACCCAGGGACGCGACGACCGGGCAGCCGCAGGCGAGCACTGGACGGCCCCGCGGTACGTGGGCCGCAACGAGCTGCGGCCGCGGGCCATGCGGCCTGGAGGCTAGCGGCACCACGGTGGCCAGGGCCGCGACCGCACAACAGGCCGCAGCTCGCCCGTCTTTGGGGCACGCAGTCGGTTACGGAGCGCGCCCCCGGCAGAGCGCGCCCCCGGGCCTCCCCGCCGTTCCTCGGGCCGGGGACGCGCGTACGTCACAACAAATCGACGTTCGTCCCGCCCCCTACAGCAGCGAATGGACTCACCCACATACGGGATATGAGAGCGCCGCGAGTCACGTGACCCGGAGGAAGGGCGGGGCCGGGAGGAAGCCGACGCGCGCACTGTGGGTAAGGGTTTTTCGCGCCCGAGGCCCGGGTTTCCAAGGGTGGCCAAACGCTCGCTCTCGACTTGGGCGTCCACCGCTTCCAGAGGCGCAGGCCGGTACTCTCAACCGACCTTCAGAGCCAATTCTCTACTGCACGCTGTGCGGAGTGGAACGGAGCCCCCATAGCGACGCTCGACCTCCCCCTGGCACTTCCGCATGTAGTATCTCCGCCCCTCGAACCGGAAGCAGCGGGTGCCTCTGCGTGTAGTGACCCAGGATGGTGGCCTGCGAGGGCCATTCTTAGTATAGGCGCCGTGTTTTTTAGCTTAGAAATGCATTTAGAAAGCTGTGATTGTAAAAAATGCGTAAAACATGCGTTTGTCTCATAGAATGTACGCATCTATTATCTAAAAAGAGTTGTCTGGACATTGTGACAAGCTGTCCTCCTGTTGTCACGTATTGTGCCCAGAGATCTAGGGGACTGATTGGTGAAGGAATGAACTCTTGGAACTGCACTCAGCCTGGGGTCTAAAGGAGACAATCTGAGAGCTGAGAGTTTTATATTATCTAGAGGGGGCGGCATAGGAAGATAAGAGTACTGCTTATTAAAAAAAAAAAAAGGAGGAAAGAAAAGAAACCTTGAGAAGCTATGCTCTGTTAAGGGTTTGGGCCATCGCCTGTGCTTGCTTTTCTGACCCAGGAAATAGATGTAGACCCTAAAGACCTGTCATTCGTGTTGTGTTTGGAAGGACAGCCAAGCATAGCTGATGAAGTACAGGGGGTGGGTGAAAAGCGTACCAGTTTGTAAGCATGTAGAAGGGGGTCATGTTACAAAATATTGGGGCCAGCATGTGGAAAGACTGGGTATCGTTGCATTGCCACTGGACAGTAGTCCCCTGCCAGTCAGTCACAAAGCTGACCTCACGTGTTTCATAAATCATTTAAGGCAAGCGGCAAAGCATTCAAGGACCGAAAGCCTGCTAAAAAGCTGGAGGGAAGTCAGAACACTTTAGAACAAGGTGTAACCTGTAAAGAACTGGGAAAATCAGCACCGGAAAGTGTGAAATGTAGCCGAAGGCACAGCTACAAAAACAAAAGGCTGACAGGAAATGGGGGAAACTCTTGTCAAGGCCTGGAGGGGTGGCTAGAAGAGGCCCTTCAGCTAGCTTTGCATTAGCACTAGCTAGGGTCTGGTTACGTCTGAGGAACACTGCTAAGCCTGGTTTTCACATGGCAGAAGGAGCTGGCCACCTTTGTCTTCAGTGTGTGTGTGTGTGTGTGTGTGTGTGTGTGTGTGTGTGTGTGTATGAGCACACACAAAAGGTGTGGTGGTGGTTTCTGCCTACAGGTGGAGTTGTGAGTATAGAGGTCAGAGGTCAACATCAGTGTCTTCGTTTATTAATTTGAGTCTTAAACTAAACCTGGAGCATTCTGATTTAACTAGACTGCCTGTCCTGGCAGCCTCCCAGAGAACACACGTGTGTGACATGGTGCCAGGGTTGTTATGTGGGTGCCAGTAATCTGAATTCAGGTCTTTTTGCTTGCACAGTAAGCATTTCACTCCAGTGAACCTTCCCACCCACCCTCCGCCCCATCTTGTTTAATTTTTGAAAGTAAAAGCCCCTTCCCTCCTGCAGACTAGGTAGATAGTGCTAGCTTGCCTTTATCCTGTTGGAGACAAGCACATAGCCATATGGCAAAGTTTGTTTCTTGCATGAGTCTCCCTTCTCTCAGAAACAGAACAGTCCCTGAGAGAGCTACTGGTGCTACTCCTTACAAGACCTTTCCTTGGGCTGCCACGTTGTGGCAGGGAACACAATAGGATGTGTTTGTGATAAGGAACAAACTTGGAAGCCAGAAACCCAAAAGTGCTGCTTAATGACCAGTCTTTTGAATTAGACTGCAGTGGTTTGAGGAGAAGAATGTGGAATAGTCTGTGGCCAGGTAGCTAAGCAAACATCCTGAACACTTGGACTAGTCACTGAGGAGAACAAGCAAGACAGCTTAGTGGCTTAAAGGCGTTTGCTCCCATGCCTGGCAACATGAGTTCAATCTCTGGGACCCACCCGGTAGAAGAAGAGAACCAAAATCCCCAAGTTGTTCTTTGACTTCCACACATACATACACAAATAAATATTTGGTTTTGTTTTTTTTTTTTTCCAAGAAGGAAGAAGGCTAGGTGTTGGGATCACAGCACAAAGGTCCTTGTTCCCACAGATATCCAGGGAGGCTGAGAATGTTAAGCATGCAGGATCGTTAAATGGGAAATTGTAAAACTTGTTCTTCTATCCAAAAAGGTGGCAATTGGAAGTGGTTAATAGCCTGGTGACCTGTGTTATCTGTTGGGCCAGACCACATCCAGCTCCTACAGCCAGGACTGAAGGTGGCTAGGAATCTAAATGACCCTTATAGTCAGGGGTTCCCTAAGCTCCCACAACCAGGACCAGAGGTAGCTAGTACCCCAGATGATCTCCATGTTATTGTATGAGGAGACCTTCCTTAGACCCTTAAGCTAGTACAGGTTAGCCTATCTCTAGAACTCATCTTCTTAGAAGAAATGACATGTACCCTAAGTCAAGTTTCAATGGAATTACACCTCCTTGTACACGGGAAATTGGTATTACACCAGGAAACTTTTTTTCCAATTCATACTGTATTTAACTTTGTTAGGAATAAACCACCTGACATCAGACTTCCAAATCTAAGCCACATCAGTCTGAACTGGGTTTTCATTCTCACCTCCTCGAAGTTTGCTTCCCTCCCTGAACTCCTGCAGGGTTCCCCTCAGCTGGGGCTATAGGTCAGTTGGCAGTGCGCTTAACTAATATACACAAAGCCCTGGATCTATTCCCAGTACCTCATAGAGCAGAGAAGGTGGCACAGGCCAATTCCAATCCTCCCATTGGAGGAGGCAAGATTAGGAGCTTAAGGCTGCTTTTGGCTGCAGAGAGTTTGAGACTCTCAAAAAAAACAAACAAACAAAAAGGAGGAAGCCCAGAGAGGCAAAGAACCTGGAGCTGCCAACGTTGATCTTGGACTACTACTGTTGAGTTCAGTCTGGATGCTATTGAAGAAAGGAAGTGGTTTCCTGGGTAAGCCCAGCTGCCCACGTTGTTCCTGCCCTAAGGATTAGCAGCTGGCCTACGGTTGGTCACTTTACATATCCCAGCTCAGTGTCACCCAGCATGTTCCCCTAGCTCCTGTGCCTTAAAAATGCCAGTGTGTGAGCTGAGACAGGTGGAGACTTGTGCCAAATAATGGGAGAGGGCTTAAGGAGCAGGAGATGACACTCGGACCAAGTCAGTCTGAGTCAAGTCAGAGACTCATCAAAGACATCACAAACAGAGAAGGGTGATTGTGTAAGATTGTAAAGATAAAAGACAGCTACATTAACACGCATGGCTTCCAGGACCTTATTCAGAAGACATGTTTCTCTCTAGTTGCACTAGCAGCCTGGTCTGTTGACTAGACTGTCTATCCCATATACATTACCAAGCATCTGCCAGCTGAGGTTAGGAGTGAACTGTGCCCTTTATGTTGTCATCTGACACATACAAGATGGGCCTTTCCTGGGGTGATGTTAAACACAGCAACAAAAACAGTTTCAAGCTAAAGGTATAAGAGATCCTGGTACTGGATTATACTGTACCTTCATTGTGTCGGGAAAAAAAAAAATGACCTCTTTGGCTTACAGACCTGACAAGATCAAAGCTGCAGGAGAATGGACAGTGAGGTACAGAGAGATGGAAGGATCTTGGACCTGATTGATGACGCTTGGCGGGAAGACAAGCTGCCATATGAAGATGTTGCGATTCCACTGGTAGGTTGTGATTTGGGCTCAGGACAATGGATCAGAGACAAAATGTGGTGAGACTTAGTGGAGGTTGGTGGGAAGTGAAATGCCAGGGCCCAGAAATCCAAGCCATGGCTTCCTCTAAACCTAGAAGTCTCTGAAAAGTGGCTAGTTCATCTTTTCATGGCTCAGAAAACTGGCTGGTGTGAGCAGCTTCATTAGAGGTCATACCAGGGCTGGAGCCCAGATTTTTGAAGCCACAAAAGCCCAGAGGTAGGCCAAAGCCAGAGGGAAGCCAAGCGTGAGTTTCACACATCATACCCAGGAGCAAGGAGCATGGTAGCTTATCAGTCTTTGTTGTTTGTTTGTTTGTTTGTTTGTTTTAAGATTTATTTGTGTGTATATATGTGTATGTATATGAGAATGTCTGAACCAATGTGCAGGTGGGGAGGGGGACAGAAGAAGGCATCAGATTCCATGAAGCTGGACTTACAGGTTAGAGGTCACCCCACATAGGTGCTGGGAACAAAGCTTGGATCCTCTAGAAGAGCAGTCGGTGATCTTACCACTGAGCCATCCCCTCAGCCCTTAAGATTTATTTCTGTTTGTGTATGTGTGAGTGTCTAGGGTACAGTGGGGGAGCCCTCAGAGGCCAGAAGTGGGTGTCAGATCTCTTGGAGCTGGAGTTAAAGGCAGTTGTGAACCACCCACTGTGAGTGCTGAAAACCAAACAGTGTCCTCTGCAAAAGCAGTAGACCCTTTAATCACTGAGCGATCTTGCAGCCCCTCTGCTGGCATTTCTGAAACACTGGCATGCACACAGGCTAGCTGCTTAGAGGCTACCTTGCCTTTCTTCTTTGGCCTTTAGACATACAAGCTCTCAGTAAACCTTTTTTTTTTTTTTTTTTTTTGCTAATCTCTGGGAACCTCCCTTAAAAGGCAATTGTTGAACCTTCTGTAATAGTTAACCTCTTACTTTTGCTTATGTAGATTTCTTAAAAACTTTTATTGATGTTACAAAAGCCTAACAAAGGACAAGGAAAACAGAGTCTGGGGACTTTCTCTGTACAGTGTGACACGTGCTCTAGAAGAGCAACTAACACAGTATGACTTCCAGGAGCACTGCCTGCCACTGCTATTTTACAAAGAAAATACTCTGCTACTTACACTCTTTCAAGAGTAAGGTGGAAATGTGTTCAAGTCTCAGCTTAGTTCAAGTTCAGGATAATAAATAAAAAGAATTATAGCTACCATTTATTACCAGTTTTAAGCCACAAACTAAAATTAAGGCTTGCGTTATCTATAATCCTTAAGACAGCCGTACAAGGGAGGTGGTGGTATCTCTGGCAGGAAAAGAGTAGGATCAGAGAGGTGCACTTACCTCAAGTGTAGTGGCTAGTTAAGTCAGATTTCATGCCTCAGTCTGCAAAGCTCAAAGTCTGTAAGCTTTCATCTGTCCACCCAGCCAGCCAGCCAGCCAGCCAGCCAACAATCGCTTCTCTAGAGTCTGCTGTGTGCCCTAAGGTTATATGAGCATAAAATAAAGTTCTTGTTTGGGGCCAAGGATCAGGAGAGGCAGGCCACTGACTAATTACACTACCAAACAGGAGGAAAGAACCAAGTGGAGAATGGCTGGAGGCCTGGCATGCACTAGAAATGCAGGGAAGATGAAATCCTTAAGAAAGAACCAGAAGTGTAATGGTGCTAGACAGGGTACTGCAACACAGAAGAGAGGGTAACAGGCCCGGGGTTTTGAAACTCGTTGGGAGATGGTGAAGCAGTGGGCAGCAATTCCCTTTGTAGTTAGAAGACAGAATGTTGGGCATAGGTGAGAAGATGTTTGTGCTTCCTTCTCTGGGGATCTAGGGATGAAAGGTCTGTGGGGTGAAGCTGCGATGCTCACATTTGTCTTTCAGAAAGCAGGGTTTGTAGCAATGACAGAGACAACCTGAGAGAAGAAAGGGCCAGGGGACATCACTGCGCCAAGAAAAGTGTGGTGACTTGCTGAACTCCATACAACAAGATTTAAGGAGTACTTATGTGGTAGAGAATGAAGAGAGAAGTCTCTCTGCTGACTTCCTGGTGGCATGGTAGCCTGGTCCTATGGCCCATCCATACAGTTTTGTGATTGTAAAGGAATGTGTCTGTCGGTTAACTTTTGCTGCATAACAAATTGTCCTGAAACTTAATGGCTTACAGAAACAACTGTTTGGTCATGGGTTTATAACTCAGTGGGGCGGTCTGGTCCACACCAGTTCAGCCGACTAATCCTGGGCTCGCTGGTGCTGCACTGTCAGCCAGTAGTCTAGCGGGAGCTGAGTGGTGCAGGAGGTCACACGCCTGGCAGTTAACAGGGTGTCTCCAGGAAGTGGGATGGCTGGGACTTAGCACCCAGCACCCAGCAGGTCTTCTGGGACCTCAGCCTCAGGTTCATGAGCAACAGGGAAGTGCAGAGCCTTAGGGCTCAGACCCCAGAACTGCCCCACAGCTGCATTCTGCTGAGAAGAGCAGGTCTGTGGCCAGTCCAAATGCACAGTCAGGGATTAAACTCTGCCGCTTGGCAGGGGCAGCTGCAGACAGCTTCAGCTGTTGGTGACGTTGGCCCCATGGATGTTGTGCTTATGGTATTTTGTGTTAGGTGGGTATGTTTTGTCTAGCTTTACATGATAGTATTCATCGCAAGAATTAATAGTCACCAAGCAAAGCATACATCATTTTAGGAAGCCTAGCACACCCTTCGAGAGCATGAAATTAAGTAGTTCTGAATCAAAGGCCTGTTTATTTTTTGTGACCTGTAGGTCAGATTTCTAAAATAGAGAGTGACAATTCTCTGGATCTGTTTACAGAATGTTGAATCTCATTTTACATTTCTAAAAGCAGATGCATGTGATGCAAACACATTTGTGTTTTTCTTGTATGTGTGTACCTGTGTGCCATGACACACATGTAGAGCTTGGCCTTGGCAGCAAGTGCTTTTACCCACTGAGCCATTTTACTGGACCTGATTCAAATACATTTGTACATATTGTAACTATGTTCTATATGTTGAACATAATTTTAAAAAGAAAAATACCTCCATATAGTTTAAATATAAGTAGGAAATCCTAACTTTGAATATTAAGCAGAAGTTTGCTAACACAAAGTGTAAGTTCAGGGAATTGCACAGAAATACATGGTATCAGTGAACTCTGGAGCCAAGCATGGGTCTAGTGTGGCCCCATGGCTTATCTCTGTAAGAAAATGGTTCTTGGGGTATGAGCTCATCTTTACTGTGTTTTCTCACTAGGGGGAGCTCTCATCTGTTACATTGTCAGTGTCCCTTATCCAGCCCATATTGTCACTAAAGTGTTTTGGGTGTAACATTTTTTTTTCTTGATACAATTCCTGTATTTGAAAACATATCAGCAAATCAAATTGGCCCTTAAAGCATTTTCAAGAGGCTCGGCATTGGCTCTTGTCAGTGTTCTCAGCCACTCACTTAGCAGTGTGTGCCGAGGAGTACTGAGCACCCTACACAGCAGTGTATGCCCTTGGAGTACTGAGCCCCTACACAGCATTTACAGGATCTAAATGGCCTCATTCTTTCTTTCCCCCAAGGCAGAGACATGGAAAAAAAGCTCATTTTTTCCCCATTTTCAGGAGTGTAAACAAAGGCCCCAAAAGTATGAATTACTTCACCACCCAAATAAGCCAGCAAATGAATGGCTGTCTGGGGGCTCCAGTCTTTGCCCTTAGCCCTCCTGCCCCACTGCCTTTGGTAAGAAAACCAGAGTCGCCGGGTGGTAGTGGCGCACACCTTTAATCCCAGCACTTGGGAGGCAGAGGCTGGCGGATTTCTGAGTTCGAGGCCAGCCTGGTCTACAGAATGAGTTCCAGGACAGCCAGAACTACACAGAGAAACCCTGTCTCAAAAAACCAAAAAAAAAAAAAAAGAAAGAAAGAAAAAGAAAAGAAAACCAGAGTCACAAGACATAGCATTTCATGCTGAAAGGGGACGCAAGCCACACTGAACAGAACCTCTGATAGTTTCTATACATCTGTTTGTTTTGACTCTTTCTTTAGAATATGCATCTCAGCTCTGCTGACTGTCCTTAGGCCCTCACAGGCTTTAATTCATAATGCCCTTGTGTTTTCAGAAATAATTACAAGACCATGTCCACACCTATAATCCCAGCTCCTGGGAGGCAAAGGAGGATAGGAGTGAGACCTCGGGGTCATGAGCTGAGACTGTGGCTCAGTGGTAGAATGCTTGTGTAGCTCGCGCAGGGCCCTGAGCTCAGTACCCAGCAGTGCAGAAACACAGTTCAAGGGGACAGTAAGTTTGGGGCCAGCCTAGGCTACATGAGAACCATCTCAAAAGGATATAGAAAGGACACTTCCTGATGGTTGTTATGGCCATGCTTCCCTTCCAGAGTGAGCTTCCTGAGCCTGAGCAAGACAACGGTGGCACCACAGAGTCGGTGAAAGAACAGGAGATGAAGTGGACAGACCTAGCCTTACAGGGCCTCCACGAGAACGTCCCACCCGCTGGAAACTGATGCTGGGCTCCTTCCCATGGATGGGGTTTTCAAAAATATGTGGATAAAAATGTTTCCTGTCTCCAAATTCAAATCTTTACGAATAAATCAACACTCAAAAACATATGCCTACTTGTTTGTTTGTTTGTTTTACCAACAAAGCCCAGCGTAAAAATATTCCGAATGAGAAACTGAGACTTCTCAGGAGTGCAGACTTCTCAGTGTGGCTCTCTCTTGAAGCCTACAACTAGTCATTCCTGCACTTGTGTTTGAACACAGTCGATTAAACGTTTGCCTTTAGCTCCAGTTTTGCTTCTGTCAAACTTTAATACTTCCCAACTACTTACAGATGTCCTTTGGCACAGGTAGTTGAAAATACAAGCAGGAAAGACAGAAGAAACCAGACGTGAAGAGAACCATAGACTTGTATTCCCATTCCTGAGAAGTGTTCTGAGAGAAGTTAACCTGTATGCGCACGTGTCCCGAGCAGATACCCCCTCACTGATAACTGCCACTCTTAAGAGTCCCAGGCTATTTTTAGACATTGCATAAATGGACAGATTAAAAAGTTATCTCTGAAGAATTAGAGGATGGCTTAGTCAGGACCTAACTTTGATCCCAACTCCAGTTAAAAAAAAAAAAAAAGGATTCACGGCAAGATATCGTGTGTTAGTAAACCCAGTTAGCTGTTAGCTACCTCTGCTCTCTGTCTATGGCCATTGCCTTTGTACCACTGGAGAGGTTCTCTGCTCGAGCGGAATACTCCTTTTATTCAGAATAATTATGGCATCTCATATCTCAGAGCCCCTACAAATATAAAACACGGTGGGACCAGTAGTCAGAGCTATATTTATACAAAAATTTGTCAAGGGTGGAGAGATGGCTCAAGTGGTTAAAAGCACTTCCTGCTCTTGCAGAGGACTTGGGTTCTGTTCCTGGCACCCATATACTAGCTCATACCTGTCTGTGACTCCAGTTCCAGGCGGTTCCTTACCCTATTCTGGCCTCTGAGGAGATACATAAGTACAAATAGGCAAGACACTCATAAAAATATAAAAATAAATCTTTTTCTAAAAAAGGAGCCCATGGCATCAAGTCTTGGGGATGAATGTACTGCTATGAAATGTCAGTTATTGGCTCTCCCTTCCAGCCGTCTCCTGGAGACAGTATAAACACAGCACTCCAGAGGACATGAGCTGGGTATCTCTGGCAGCCGGTATACAGAGACACAGTGGCTAGAGAACGGGTGGAAAAATAGGGAAGGAGCTACTCATGGTGAAGTAGAGCATAGGAGATCTCAATAGATTTCATTCACTTTAAAGACAATGGGACATTTCTTGTACCTGCCTTGACTTTCTGAACCAATACCTGACCAATGAGGGGTGAATGTTGACCACAGAGCAAGAGATGACACAAAGCCTCAACTGGTGTTACCAGCAAGGGACCTGGGTGGGCTAGAGGCTTCTCCACATTTCCTGAGTCATTGAAAGGTTTAATCAGAGCTGGGGACTGCCTGATCTTTTTTATTTTGATTTTTTTTTGTTTCATTTTATTTTGTTTCAAGACAAACTTTCTTTGTATAAATCCTGGCTGTCCTGGAATTAGCTCTGCAGATCAGACTGGCCTGGAACTCACAGAGATCACTTGCCTCTGTCTCCCAAGTGCTGGGATTAAAGGCGTGAGACACCACTCCCAGCTTTCATTTGTTGTTGTTTATTTGTTTGTTTAATTCAAGTCACCCCAGTAGATGGATTTCAGTTAAGACAGGAAGTGCAAAGACAAAAGAGCTCCACTCTGGAAAAGATAATGGCGCCTTGGACTGCGGAGGTGAAGCTGGAGGTAGAGGAGTTAGGGATAGCTCTTCCAGGTGAACTTGCCCAGGCTTGCCCACTGCATAGTATTCCCTGCTGGATTGAGGCGGTATGGTTCTAAAGAAACTCACATGCAGTGTGGGCCTTGTCTTAGAACCCAGAGCTGAATTCTCTGAGCCAGACGCAATCTCTGTCTCTGAGAAACAGCCGGAGGCCAGGAGCTGCCCATCATCTGAAGCCCATCTTAGACCTATCCCTTCATGGTATCACAACAATGGCAGCTGGGATGGTTGGAACACTTCCATGGTTCAAGTCCTGCCTTTTCTTTTTAGCTGGATGTTGCTGTCCTTTGAACTGGAGATGACAGCTTAAAATTTAATGTTAGCTTATTGCAGGTTAAAAGACTTATAAAAGTTATTCAAATAGCACCTTCCAATGTAGACTGTCTCATCTCAAATCCTATGTCCTTGCCAAAAGCCACATCCATGCTCTAGAAAATCCCATCAGAATTCTCAAATTTTTCATGTTTGTCTTATTTCTAGAATGGAGACAGAACTGAGAGAATTATTATTTGGGGACCTTGGATATATGAAATATTAAATATTCCTATTTAATTACATATATATATATATATATATATATTCAGTCATTTTCAGAGTCAGTGCCCCTTTGTACCCAGCAGGGGCCGCTCAACTTCTTCTTAAAAATTCAAAGCCTTCCAGTACCAGTGAACCCAGAGGAAGCAGCAAGTCCTGAGGTGCTGGCCCAGGGCAGCTGGGACTCAGATGATGGACATTCCTAGCCTGCCTCTGCCCCTGAGCCAACCAGCGCTGGCTCCATGAGTGTGCACTCTCAGAAGCATGCATTTGTATTAATTTAACCCTTCTTATCTTGAATCTTTGAATCGCTTATAAAAAGGGTCCATGTTTTCATCTTTCAGTATATTCCAAACATTATGTAGCTAGCTAATCCACGGCAGCCATCAATCAGGGTTTCATGTCAGCTAGAAAATAACTCAAATGTCACTACATTGGAAGGGCAAGCATTTAAGGTCCTGAATCAGCAGACTTCAAAGCACGAGAAAAGCAGGCAGGTCCCAGAGAAGCAGAGCGGAGAGCTAAGGCGAGCATCTTTGCTGTCTTGTGGGGCTTCTGGTCCTCTGGAGATCTTCCCAAGGTGGTAGCTGATTGAACTTGCCTGAGTGACAGTGGTGTGAGGGGCAGCTACAGAGATTCTGTAAGCTGACCAAGACAGATGCATGGACAGCTAAGAGCACTTGAGGCAAGGTAATCGTGAGACTCTGGGGTGTGTCCTTACTGAAGTTTGCACTGACTCTTAGCCAATGACTATGTAACCTTCTCTAGCCCTGCCTCAGAGTAGACCCTTTGACCCAAATAATGTATGAAAAGCACAATGACAGCTGGGGACAGTATTCAGCTCCTCGGTCCATTACTGGTACTCGGTAATATAAAGACTTTTGGGCTATTTTTCTGTAGGTTATTTACTCAATTTGTTGAACATATGCAAAAACTATTTTTTGTGGCTCAAATTTGGCCAAATCATAGCAGTTTCCTTTGTTTTCAGCTAATACTGTTCCAAGTGTTGATTGTACATTTGCAGAAAAATACCCCCACACACATACTCATTAGCTGGATTTGCTGGGGGCAGGAAAAGGGGACAAAGGGTGGAGAGCTCAAAAATACCAAATGACTGGAGAGGAAATGAGAGAGGGTGATGTAAAAGCCCGTCCCTGTTATCCATGTCTTCCCTGGTGACTCAGACCCCCTTTATGGAGATGCCACCGGTGACCCGAAGGCAAAAAAGACTTTCCTCCACCCATACTCTGGTCTTGCCTTCACTCTTCTGGCAGTTCTGCCCCCAGCTTCCACACTTTCTAAATGCTACTCACTAAGTGGCAGCCATGCTGGCTCTGGCAGACTTTCTGCTAAATCCCAGTGAGCTTGCCCTAACACCTGCCCTTGACTGAGACCCCTCATGGTCTGGTCTGTATCCTTTCAAGGCTCTTGCATTCCCAGCCTCTCTCCTTCCAGGCTCTATTCTCACAGCTGTGGTAATTTTAGGAGATGTACCTACCTCTCCACCCACCCCACTCTCACCCAGGCTGCCTTGGAGCTGGAGAGGTAAGGGGCTCTTGGGAGTCTTAGGAATTCAGGCAACAAGGCATCTGAGCCCTCTCATGGCAGAAGTAGAGAAGGCCAGTCCCTATTTCCCCATGGACTTTTCACCCTGTATCTTTCTCTCAATCAGCCATCTCCCCATGATCTGTTTTCCCCCCTATTGATTGCTTCTTTTATTACTTTACTTTACTGTAGCATTTATCTTATCTAAGAAGCATTTAACTTCTCTCCCTCTCTGCTTTCATTTTGCAAAGTCTCTGAAATATGTTTCATCTCAAATTCACAGCTCATTTGATTCCCTTAATAGTTGCTTATCGCTTTTTCAACTTGGGCCCGGCAGAATGGCTCCCGCAAAGAAGGGTGGCGAGAAGAAGAAGGGCCGTTCTGCCATCAACGAGGTGGTGACCTGAGAATACACCATCAACATTCACAAGCACATCCATGGAGTGGGCTTCAAGAAGCGTGCTCACTCAAAGAAATTCGAAAGTTTGCCATGAAGGAAATGGGGACTCCAGATGTGGGCATTGACACCAGGCTCAATAAAGCCGTCTGGGCCAAGGGAATAAGGAATGTTCCATATCGCATCCGAGTACATTTGTCCAGAAAATGTAATGAAGATGAGGATTCACCAAACAAGCTCTACACGTTGGTAACTTACGTGCCTGTTACCACGTTCAAAAATCTACAGACGGTCAATGTGGATGAGAACTAACCTGCTGAATGTCAAATAAAGTTGCAGTACTGCCTCCAAAAAAAAAAAAATAGTTGCTTATCTAACATTATGTATGCATACAATGTATGTACAGTAACTAAGTGCACAGACCTTGAAACAAGATGACTTGAGTTCAAAACCCAAAGCCAAGCAACACTCCAACTACGCATCCCCTCGAAGGCTAAACCCAGGTCTCCTTGAAGCCAAGGTTGACAGCACTACCTATATCATACGCTTCTCAGGTTAAATGAGGCAGGGCAGTGATATGTTTGGGCAGACTGGGACTCATGGCAAACACCTGAAACCTGAGCTATCGGTTGTTATCAAGATAAGGCAATAGGCCCTTCAGAGGCATCCTATATTTAGCTCGTGACCTTTGAGATGGCAAGGTTAAGCAGCAATGACTTTGGAAGGCAGAAGACCTGGGTTTGAGCTCTCTCTTAAGGGAACTGTGCTGGGGATTGA